CAAAGGACTCACCACACATTGACGCTCAGATCAACGGACTCATCACACAAAGATGCTCAGATCAACGGACTCACCACATATTGACGCTCATATCAACGGACTCACCACACATAGACGCTCAGATCAACGGACTCACCACACATTGACGCTCAGATCAACGGACTCATCACACAAAGACGCTCAGATCAACGGACTCACCACACATTGACGCTCATATCAACGGACTCACCACACATAGACGCTCAGATCAACGGACTCACCACACATAGACGCTCAGATCAACGGACACCACACAAAGACGCTCAGATCAACGGACTCACCACACATTGACGCTCATATCAACGGACTCGTCACACAAAGATGCTCAGATCAACGGACTCACCACACATTGACGCTCAGATCAACGGACTCACCACACATAGACGCTCAGATCAACGTACTCACCACACATTGACGCTCAGATCAACGGAATCTCCACACAAAGATGCTCAGATCAACGGACTCACCACACATTGACGCTCATATCAACGGACTCACCACACATAGACGCTCATATCAACGGACTCACCACACATTGACGCTCATAACAACGGACTCACCACACATTGACGCTCAGATCAACGGACTCACCACACATAGACGCTCATATCAACGGACTCACCACACATTGACGCTCATAACAACGGACTCACCACACATTGACGCTCATAACAACGGACTCTCCACACATAGACGCTCATAACAACGGACTCACCACACATTGACGCTCATATCAACGGACTCACCACACATTGACGCTCATAACAACGGACTCTCCACACATAGACGCTCATAACAACGGACTCACCACACATTGACGCTCATATCAACGGACTCACCACATATTGACGCTCATAACAACGGACTCACCACACATTGACGCTCATATCAACGGACTCACCACATATTGACGCTCAGATCAACGGACTCTCCACACTAAGATGCTCAGATCAACGGACTCACCACACATTGACGCTCAGATCAACGGACTCACCACACATAGACGCTCAGATCAACGGACTCACCACACATTGACGCTCAGATCAACGGACTCTCCACACATTGACGCTCATATCAACGGACTCTCCACACAAAGATGCTCAGATCAACGGACTCACCACACATTGACGCTCATATCAACGGACTCACCACACATTGACGCTCATATCAACGGACTCTCCACACAAAGATGCTCAGATCAACGGACTCACCACACATTGACGCTCATATCAACGGACTCACCACACATTGACGCTCATATCAACGGACTCACCACACAAAGATGCTCAGATCAACGGACTCATCACACAAAGATGCTCAGATCAACGGACTCACCACACATTGACGCTCATATCAACGGACTCACCACACATTGACGCTCATATCAACGGACTCTCCACACATTGGCGCTCATATCAACGGACTCACCACACATTGACGCTCATATCAACGGACTCACCACACATTGACGCTCATAACAACGGACTCACCACACATTGACGCTCATATCAACGGACTCACCACACATTGACGCTCTTATCAACGGACTCACCACACGAACACGCGCAGATCAACGGACTCACCACATATTGACGCTCAGATCAACGGACTCACGCCAAAATAAGGTTCAGATCAATTCATTTCAACAAAGGCACTCAGATCAACGGAATTCACAAAACATAAGCAGTAATGTTCTTTGATATCGACATAATAAGCGTGAGTGAATGTTGTTTTAAGCCACAGTCCTCAATATAGTCACAGCCTGACCACACGAACCCAGTTTAAATCTTACAAGCATGGGTGATGGGGGACGTAGTATGATCCAGGGCCTGTATTACATCGTCTTGATTGGACAAACAAGTGTTTGATAGCATGAGCCCCGCTTCACGTCGTCGGGGTCCAAAGACACAATGAGCCGAGTTACCCACTGTTAGCACCACCTCGTTACTTTAGACGTTTATTTACGTCAAACATGGAACACAGGGGGTGTTTCTGCCTGAACTCCCCGAGGGAAGATTATGAGAGATCACTGCTGAAGTTTGGTGGATTCAAAGACAATTGAGGAACACGCTTACACTCGAGAGGACAAACGATTATAAAAGTAAATTACTTGATGTTGTAATCTAATCTGGAGACAAAGGGGATGAGCCAAGGGAAACACCCATAAATTATCATCACAAGAGACCTACATAATACCAAAACTCAAAATGCCTGAGAGATATATTGTGCCCATAAGAGAGGCATTCGCCATCATTCTAACCACAAGACGCGTCTAGCCCACGTAGTCTACACCTCAACAATATAATCGTCGTGGAGCTGCAAACACTCATGCGTTCAAACGTAGTTAATTGTATCATGAGACGCGTCAAGTTTACGTCGAATACATATAACATCATTAATTATATGAATTGTACGGTACCGGTTCTTTTATTGCTGGGCCGCTTACATCTTCACTTTGTCCCAGAGCTCAACACAACCCTCTGAAGTAGATTAGATCATTCTTGACTCCATCATGAGATTGCCGGGAGCGTGAAGGTCACTGGACTAAAACGTCGATAGTCACCGTGTAGAGACTTATCGCCTTGTACCTGGATCCGCTAATGAGTGGTTCGAATCCCAGATTTAACCCGATGAGGATCCTTGTTTTTTTATTACGGATACCATAATATGTGGTTTGTTTATTTGTTTATTTGTTTGTTGTTTAACGCCGCATTCAGCAATATTCCAGCTATATGATGGCGGTCTGTAAATAATCGAGCCAGGACCAAACGATCCTTTGATTGACATCATAAGTCTCGATCTACGCAAATGGGATACGATGACATACATCAGCCAAGACCACCCGATCCCGTTAGTCGCCACTTACGACAAGCATTGTCTGGACCAGAAAATCCAGTGATTGATATTATGAGCATCGATTTACGTAATTGGGATATGATGACATGCACCAACCTTGTCAGCGAGCCTGACCACCCGATCCCGTTAGTCGCCTCTTACGGCAAGCATAGTGTCCTGTTAAGACAAGCATGGGTTGCTGAATACCTATTCTAACATATATAAATGTGGCTGGAGGGACACGTTTATTGATTCGTGTATGCGAATAGTTTAATATGACCGATGCCGTGGTCTTGTGGCAGAGTGTCCGCCCGGAGAGCGGAAGGTCTGGGGTTCGATCAACGGCCGCGTCATACCAAACGAGGTGAAAAGATGGTACTTGTTGTTACCCTCGGGATTAAGGGGATAAAAGAAGGACTAGTCGGCTGATCAGTATACCGTGTCTGAGTGGGTTATACATGTTAAACTGCGGCATTGTATCTCAGTGGGTTGGCCCTATAAATCGGCATCATTCCGGACTAGTACAAGCAGCAACACACACAAACACGCGCGCGCGCGCACGCACGCACGCACGCACGCACGCACGCACGCACACACACACGTGCATGCACGTTGCTATTTTAGTGCAATAATCGTTGACGCGATGTTCAACCCCATTTCACCTTACCTCACCGAATATTGAATATACTTGTCTATTAGTCTCTGGTATACTGATATTTATAAGTATGGAACATCACTTGACTGCACATCATACACGTGTCAACTATGTCCCTTAATGCGGGTGCATTGTTTAAGAGATAGAGGTCTGATTTAGTTTCGACCTTCACCAAACATATATTCATGACAGCCCTCCTGGAAATGTCTGCATATTATGTGAAATTCGCTCCTTGTCTCAATAAACATACGAAATAAAGCGTACAATTCGCTGGTGACAGAATACAGATAATTAATCGTCAAATATTCCGTATTCCAGAGTTAAGAAACAACGATAACGGTTAATTGCTGCCAAAAGAAGGATGCAAGACGCATCTTGCATTGGAACCTTCAAAGACGATTGGAAGAAGAGGCTCTTTGGAACCTTGACATTCTCGCTGCCCTTTGCTGTGTTATGGCTGAAGAGTTGCTACGAATACCTTGATACTGTACTAGATCTACTAGATCTATACGTACTATAGTACTTGGAATGAACGTTTCATTCGACGCGACCCATAATACCAATGTGTTCAAAAGCAGTCCAATGACGTCCATGAATACTGACGTTGACCTTCTTGTGACGAAGAAAAGGGGTTTGCAACATTTATCTATCTGATGCATTTAATGGCGTTTGTTTTCGGATTCGTTGCCTTGTATTAGACTGCGTTCGATCGTACTGGGTTGATTTGGATTGCGTTTGCATGATTTTAACTTGCGTTCGATTGCTTTGTATTGTGTCGGATTGCGTTAGAAGGCATTGGATTGTATTGCGTTAGAATGCATTGGATTGTATTGCGTTAGAATGCATTGGATTATATTGCGTTAGAATGCATTGGATTATATTGCGTCAGAATGCAATGGATTGCGTTTGTTTGGGTTGGATATATCGAGTATTGTTGCAGTTGCCTTCACTGGCTTGTGTTGATTATTTTGTATTACGTTTGATTGAACTGTATTGAGTTTGATTGCGTTAGACTGCATGTAATTGCGTTTGATTACATGAGAGTTGCGCTTGATAGCATTTGTTGGATTTGGATTGCGTTTCATTGTATTAGATTGAGATTTATTACATTTCATCGCATTGGATTGTATGTTTTTTGGTCTGATTTACAATATGTTGGCTGTTGACATTAAAAATATCACCAAAAGTCCAGGGATGGAAATGTTGGTATAAAAACGTCTTTGTCCTGAAAGCGGATCCTGGCTGTAAAAGCACCAGCTTGACACAACGGTATTCAACGTAAACAGTACAAACACCAAATATATATATAAAGTCGTCTTGACACTGATAGCCATTGGACATTGTCTTGACCTTCCGACGCTCCTTGTGATCACTGTCATAGTCTGGCTTATCAAAGCCAAGCAGGCCAGACACCACTATGGCCGGGGGAAGCCGCTCCTTACAGCGTTAGGGGGTGTAAACGTCCATTCTGTAGTATCTCCATGGTTGTTATGAGCTAATATATCACCTGCGCGCGATAACAATGATCTATAGCATGTACCGTCGGCATGTAACTGGAGTGAGGACGCGAAGCTCTACATAAAATGTCCCATGAAAACACAATTTGCTGAAACGCAACTAAACCTACACGACTGGACTGTGAAATCTGCGTCAACTAAACAGGTCGAGGAAGCTGGATAAAAACAATAACAAATCAATACAAAACAGGAATTATTCTTGTCTACTGGTGATAGCGAAATCGATTGCTTTTATATTTCGCCAATTCCATTGTGCCGCCCATTTTAATTCGATTTCCAAGAGATAGTTGTCAGTGGAATAAGAAACAGTGTGCTTCCGATTGTCGCTAACCCAGTTACCCTCTAAGTGAAATTGGACTCGTCCAAGGGAGGCGGATTGCCTCCACAAACATCGCAGAGAGACGGGTTATGCCTTCGGTATGGGGAGGCGAGCTTTTGTGATCTTGGTATGCCTGGTGGTACTGATTCGGTCACAAGGTAGGTGTATATATATATATTTACACAGCAGCACATTTACACCGACAACACGTGGCTCCTTATCGATCTGAGGTAACGAAGAGAGTTTTTCGTGTAATGTAAATATGCTATATACTGTTTCGTCCATGTGCTTTGTGAAGTTATTTCTGTGAGAAATACAACACGAACTGCCCCTTATATAACGTGTCGTAGGCAGCAGTAAGCAATTACTATTTTATCAAATTAAGCTCGGTGTGAACATTGCTGCACAATGTGTAGAGAATGCACACACGCACGCACGCACGCACACACACACACACACACACACACACACACACACACACACACACACACACACACACACACACACACACACGCACACACACACGAAGGTGACCTTTCATATATGTAGGATGGCACTCGTATTTAATATTACCAATAACACGGATTAAAATCATTTAAATTATCAATATTAATATTCAAATATAATTTCTCATATGCATATGCATTTTTCATATGCTTTGTTGTAGGTCTTAACGCTTGGTTTCTATCTGGCATGGAATAGGTTATGGCAACGATATGAGGTCATATACTTCAAGCAAAGGTTAAATCTGTATGTCAGCCAATCCCAGATAGATATAATATGGTTGTGTATTGCATTCCTAAGGTACATCGTAATTATTCCTGTGTGTTGATTTTTAGGCACGTACAGCAGATATACACGTAAATCGCTACGATGAAAACCATATGTTATGAATTATTCTCAACTAAATTATTTTTTTCTTTCCTTATTGCCGTATTTTTAATTATGCGCCTTTATAGGTGCCAACGTAAAAATTCCACATTTTCAAATGATGGTTCTGATAAGCACTTAATGAAACATTGAACAGTGTTTAAATTTCAACGGATTGAAATTGTACAGTTTTACAGTTCGCTGTGATGTACAGCTGGTGATCGCTGACGCCTGGTATTACGCTGACAGTAAATATGTTTAAACTGAGCTGGAAACGATGTGTTATGATAACATAATGTCAGAGGAGAGTTGTTAATTCGAGATGCAACAAGTCAGTGCTGCGACAGCACTTGAAGGTTATTCGGTAGAATATGAAATTAGTGAGTTAAAATTACACCGTGTCTGCAGTACTGCAGCCATATCGTGTGTAGAATGTGGAAGTACTTGACCCAGGGCAACATCTCAGTGGAGAGGGTTGTAAATATGGAAGCTTCATACGGAAACAAACAGTGCGCCCTGTAAATGAACGGTTTTGGTGAAGCATATCGAAATATCGTTTTAATTTCGTATGCAAAAGGCGAGATGCCGGTTATTCCCGACCGTTATGTATTATGTGAAATCAACAGGATTAGCGTTTTTTATTTGTTTGTTGTGTAACGCCGCACGCAACAATATTCCAGCTACATGATGGCGGTCTGTAAATAATCGAGTCTGAACTAGACAATCCAGTGTTTGACACCATGAGCATCGGTGGACACAGCTGGGATACGATGACATGCAAGACGTCAGCGAGTCTGACCACACGATTCCGTTAGCCGCCTCGTACGAAAAGAATAGGTTGCTGAAAACCTATACTGACCTGGATCTTCTCGGGGTGGCAGGATTGGCGTGTGTTTGTGACGGGTGCCACCGATGAGGAAGGATATGTTCACCTTTTCGCGAACACCTGGTATTATCACTATTTGATAGTGATTCTTAAACACATGCTCATGATACAGTCGTAATCTTACAATCGACTCTGTTTTTTGCAGAGATTTCTATTGGATATGCAAAAGGTTTTGTGGCATTAATTATTTGGATTAAGGTATATCATGTATGAAGTAGTTTCATTATACCTGGGGTCAGCAGACTGAGTCTTCGGATAAACTGTCCAGACTTCACGCAGTTTAACTACACGTGATTTGGGGTGACTTAAGTTTCATGGTACAATAAATTCGAATTTGATCAAACATTGGTTATTTCATCTGATTTCGGATAGATACTGGTACATACCGGCATACCTGTCAGATGTTTAGAGCGCATGGCGCAGAGGTTGACCTACCTGTACTTTTCGTGGGAATCGACTGGAGTGGAGTGTGTGAAAACAACGTTGATAACTGCACATTCTATAGGCCACTGGTCTGCCAGGCCCGGTTATGATTATTATTCAGACCGCCGTGACATAGCTAGAATATCACTCACTCACTCACTCACTCACTCACTCACTCATCCAAGTTAAGATATTTCTCATGCATCAAATGATGATTTGAAGGTAATAAACTAAGCGCGTTGGTATTTCTCATCACCTGAAGATGATAGACGGAACTTAATATCAGACTGATGTCCATATATGGGAAACAAATATACATCTGCAATAGAAATGCCAGGCATCAGAAATAATTTGAATAATGGTTTTGAAGATTGAGGTGGCACTATGTATGTAACGACACCATGTTTCTGAGGTTGATTATGATGTATAAAACACCATCCATGATCGATCACATGTTCGCCTCCAGTGCTTGGATGCAGCATTGTCTGGGGGCTTTTTCAAAAGCTATATTGACAGTGTCTGTACAGGATACGAAGGTCAGTGTGCAGCTGATATGTGTGCAGTACACACCTCGAATGATGTGGTGTTTAGGGGAGCATCTGCCGGTCAGGACATTTTTGCCAATCAGTCATTATACCACCACACAAAACATACTCTCAGGAAATCTCGTTATTCCGTGACAAATAAAAGGGCTTATTTACGTCAAATGTAAATATTTATAAATGTCCTTAATATCATGTTGCTATAACAACAAAGATGCCCAAAGATATGTTTGAAATCATGCATGGAAGGTGCGAACGTTAATGTATGAACAATGAACCTGCAAATATACACCTGAGGTATTTATTTACACTTACATTTAGAGCGACATACAGCTATATATACACTTCTATGTAGTTACTGATTTGCATTTGGATCTTTGAGAATATAGGTTTATATGTTTTGTATCTGTACAGAGGGAATGCGCCAGAGATGGTGTGAGAAATGGAAGAGATTTGTTGAAGGTGGCAGAGGTATTGATTCAAAGAGGTTGCGATGGAGAGAAAAAGGGAAAACTCTTGGCAAGAGTTGGAGAGGGAGAACGAGAGAGTGACTAAGAGGAAGAGAGAGGAATAGTCATTGTGTGTGTTAGAGAGAGAGAGAGGAGAGGGAGGGAGGGGAGAGGCAGGGAAGAGAGATGGATAGAATGAGAGAAAGAAAGTAAGAGAGGGAGTGTGGGGAGAGAGACGGAGAGAGACGGAGAGAGACGGAGAGGGAAGGAGGGGAGAGACAGAGTGAAGATCGATAGATAGAGAGAAAGAAAAAGAGAAAGAGAGAGGGAGTGTGGGGAGAGAGACGAGAGAGGAGAGGGAAGGAGGGGAGAGACAGAATGAAGATAGAGAGAGAGAAAGAGAGAGGGTGTGTGGAGAAAGAGGGAGAGAGAGATGGGAGAGGGAAGGAGGGGAGAGACAGTGAAGATAGATAGATAGAGAGAGCGAAAGAGAGAAAGAGAGGGATGGGGCGGGGAGAGAGACGGAGAGAGAGAGGAGATGGAAGGAGGGGAGAGACAGAGTGAAGGTAGATAGAGGGAAAAAGAGAGAAAGGGAGAGGGGGAGTGGGGAGAGAGACGGAGAGAGAGACGGAAGGGAGAGACAGAGTGAAGGTAGATAGAGAGAGAAAATGAGAGAGGGGAGTGGGGAGAGAGACAGAGAGAGGGGAAGAGGAGAGGGAAGAAGGGGGTACACAGAAAGTGAGGATAGATAGACAGATAGAGGGAAAGAGAGTGAAACAGAGAGAGGGGAGTGAGAAGAGAGACAGAGAAAGATATATCATAATAATACACCTCGTTGCCCGAACCAGTCATCAGTGAAATAAATCACCGAAGCTTGAAATTTTATTGTCTTAAGTTAAACAAACCATATTACGTCGAGACTGCGTGTATCTATCTTGGAGACAAGCAATCCATCATGTGAGCATGTGATCAATATCTAAATACACATTGCCAAGGGTTACATAAGCTTTACAATTCATGTCAGTTTTATTCAACGCTGGTAGTATTTACCGTTGAAGAGGGCCAGTGATACACATGAGGGTCGGTCGCACACAGACGACTGCAGGCGACAGATATTGCCTGCTCTGCTGGCTGAATGCATAGGGAATAGGCAGTTGCAATGAAGGATTACATCGCTTCTTAGACGCATTATTTCCATCCTTGGTAAACATCCTTTGATGTAGAATCGTCCATCCTGATCGATCATACAAATGACGTTACTTTACAAATAAATTTAATTCAAATTCAATCTGATATGTCCTCATCTTTAATCTGGTGGCATTTAACCATGACGTCATCTGCAGTGACATTTCAAGCACGAGTGTCATTCGTGTCGACATCGCCCAGGCAATTATGGTCTGATGATTATTATCATGCTAAACGATGCCACACTCAACTCTAAGGGTTCCATATAAATATTATGGCTTTCATCACATGATTGTGAAGTCATGTCGTTTCATCTTAAGTCACGTGGCTCAAATGCATTCAATGTCTCTCCCTTTGTCTCTTGGAACCTCAGTGATATTTATTTCTAAGCTTACAGTGGGAGCCAATGTATTGCAATAACGGAGCTGTCTCGTGCGACATTTCAGATTTGCCTGGGCCAATTTTCTCTTCATGTTTCCATTCGTCCCTGAAGATTGTAGAATTCATTTTGTTTTCGTTGCGAGGCGATTAATATGCATAATTGCTGCACTAAGTCCCACTGCAATAAAGAGAATGAAGAAAAACTAGATATTTCAGATGTATCTTGAACAGCTATCTTACTGAAATTCTTAATGCCCATTCATCACAGTTCATCCACCACAATTATGAGATACCATATTTGTGAGGACATTAAATTGACTTGATCAATTTTGTCTGTATGTCATTAGATCTCAACAGCTCCCTGGGGATTGTTTTGAGTTGATCATACGGATGCTGCTTTTAAATCAGCATGTTTGTTTTTT